CAGCGCGACGCCGCTGCCCCACGCCAACGGCCTCGCCAAGCCGCCGCGGCGCCTACCGCGGGCCGAGCAAAACTCGCGCCCGCCGCCGATCGAGGTAACACTACGATTCGTTGCTCGACAAGCGGCAGCGCTTGCGTTGGTTGAACATGGGGAGCTCCCCCCGTGCATCGCGAGGCCACGCGTGAGCCTTCGGCGAGGCGCGTCCGCCGTGCGCCATCCCCAGCGCGGCGGGCCTCTGAGGCCTACTCTGCTCGCCAAGGGCCACGAAGAGGCCAAAGCCACGCTCGCGCGCCTCGAGGCCCACGAGGCTCGTGAACGAGGCGCCTGACCCCGAGAGCCGCGATCTAAACGCGCCAGTGTTACCCCGCCTCCCCCGGCCGCGAGGACCCCATCTCCTGGGGCTTCTCGCCGTGGTCGTCGTCGTGGCCGGGCGGCCCGCGGTCGTCGGGATCCCGTTCCTCGGGCGCCGCGTGCTTGTGCGCCGCGGCGTCGGCGCCGGGCGTTGGCGCGCCCGACGGCGGCGGGAAGACGTGGCCCTCGGCGTCGCAGTGGGGCCAGGTAAAATCGTCGTAGACGTAGGGGAGCGCGTAGGCCCGCGGGTCGCCCATGGCGTGGAGCTCGCCGTTCGTGACGAACGCCGGGTCGCCGTCGACGGCGACGGCCCAGGGCGCGACGTCCCAGGGGTGGTGGCCCTTGCAGTCCGACGCGCCGATGCCGTCGTAGTCCGTGATGCAGTACTTCGTGGGCCCGTCGGGCGCCTCCCAGCCCGGGCTCGAGAAGGGCTTGACGATGCGCTTGTACTGGAGCAGCCGGTCGAGCGTCGGGTGGATGGGCCAGAAGGAGGGGTCCACGGGCGAGTTCGCGCCCATCTGCTCGCCCGGCGTGAAGGGCGTCGTGCAGATGAGCTCGAGGAACTGGCCCCAGAGGTCCACGGGCAGCCGCGCCACCCACGCGCCGAACAGGTTCTCGCCCATGTCGCCCGTCAAGGCGAACTTCCGGAAGCTGCCCAGCGACACGGGGTCGTCGCAGATCATGTGGCACAGGGCCTGGGGCGTGTCGTCGGAGCAGGCCTGGGGGTACTCCACCAGACCGTAGCGCCACATCGTCTTCGGGAACGCGACGGTCCGCTGCTTCACGGAGCCCAAGATTTTGGCGACGTTCGACGCCTCGAGGTCGTCGCTGGACGAATTCCCGTGGAGCGCGGCCATGGCCATGTCGCCGCAGTGCGTGTAGCCGCCGATCATGAAGTGGACGGGCCCGTGGGGCGCGTACGCGGCGGCCCAGACCCACTCGTACAAGGAGTCGACGGCGAACGTGAGCTCGTGGTGGACCTTGCAGGACGGCCAGGCCGTGTCGATGGGCGACGCCTCCGTCGTGAGGCTCCCCTCGAGCCAGCCGTAGGACGCGCCGCAGAAGCTGTGGGCCCGCAGGAGGAAGGGGTCCTTGTTCACGTTCCACGGGCTCCGGAGGTAGCCGTAGGGCGACTTGACGCGCGCGCCCGCGGCCGCCTTGGCGATGGGCGCGTAGGCGAAGCGGCCCGTCTCCACCGTGCGGTACTTGCCCGAGGCCGTGCCGAAGAAGTCGTCGCCCCAGACGTCGAGGGACCACAACGTCGCCAGGCGGTCCTCGGCCTCGTTCGCCAGATGGTGGTCCTCCGTGTAGTCCCAGTAGGGCACGGACGCCGCCGGCGCGACGACCTGGAGCGCCGCCTCGAAGGCTAAGGTCAGCGCGTTGTGGGACGCCACGAAGCCCATGCCGTCGTGGAGCGCGTCGTTGCCGCGGTCGCCTGTGTGGATTCCAACCACTGGTTTGGGGGGTCCCCGCCAAACTTCAGAACGCTCTAGCTCGATCACATCGAAGTCGATTCGGCTGATTTTTGGACGAAGCGATGGCTCTCATCGAGTTCTCGAAGCACAGCGCATGTGCTCGTGGCAAAACAGTCGCATGCGCGCACATTGAACTCGGGTTGAAGATTTGAGTTCCACGCGGGCGGTCGCCCGCGAGCTCGAGGTGAACCGCGACGAAGTCGTCCAGCGACGCGTAGCCGCCGCCGTAGAGCCGCCGCCCCCGCGCCGTCGGCACGGCCATGAGCGTCTTGAAGGCGTCGAAGTAGAGCTCCCGGTCCGCGGGGTTCAACTTGCGGAGCGACCGCCGGACGTAGACGCACGCGACGGCGACGGACGCCGCCGCCTCCGCGAGGTTCGCGTCGCAGTCGCCGTAGGGGAGGGCCACGTCGACGACGTAGCGCCCGACGGCGTCGAAGAGGACGGTCCAGGCGCCGTCGACGAGCTCGACGGCGGGGCCCGGCGCGCCGCGCTCCGTCGACACGGACCACGTCGCCCTCGAAAGGTCGGCCGACGCGCCGTCGTCCGCGGCGGCCGTCGACAGGGTCGTCAGGCGGTGGGGCTCGACGAGGACGCTGTCGGCGAAGGACGGGTACCAACTATCGCCCGCCGTCCGCGACCCGTACTCGTTCGTGAAGACGATGGGCGTCAAAACGCCGCGCAGGGCGCCGTCGGCCGGCGGGGCCGCGGCGAGCGACAGGAATACGCTCGGGGCGTTGTACCCGATGAGACAGACGCCTAGAATCGACAGGGGCACGAACCCGCCGAGGAGGCCCCGCCACCGGGCGACGCGGTCTTGGTCCACCATCGCGCCCGACGTGCGTCAAAGCCAAAACGCTCGCAAAAAACCTGCCACAGGCGCAGCGGCAGACGCATCCACCGGCGCCGTCCAGGCGCGCGCCGCCACCCAAGATGGGTCGCCACAGCTCTTCGACCCTCCCGGTGAGCCCGCTCGCGGCGCTCATCGGCATCGCGACGCTCACCTGGATGGCCGTCGTGATGACGACGCCCGCCGAGCTCGCGACGGACCGCCAGGCGCTGCGCGGCCTCCGCGAGGCGCGCAACGGCACGCGCGAGATGGAGAAGCTGCGCAAGGCCATGGCGCAGCTCCACGAGGGCATCGACGCGGCGGCGCAGCGGCCGGCGGCGCCCGCCGCGCCGCCGCCGCCGCCGGCCGCCGCGGCGGCGCCCGCGGCGACGTGCGACTTCCGCGCGGACGTCGACATCTCGGGCGACGGCGTCGGCGAGGGCCCCTTCGAGGACTCGAGCCGGGAGGCCTGCTGCGCGCTCTGCGCCGAGCGGTCCTGGTGCATGGGCGCCGTGCTCAGCGGCGCCGAGGACGAGCCGCCGCGCGCGTGCTGGCTCAAGGCTGACGCGACGCGGACGACGTCCAAGCCCGGCGTCGTCGCCTGCGTGCCCCGGGCCCGGGCCGCGCCGCCACCCTTGGAGGCGCCGGCGAGCACGGCGACCTGCGAGTTCGCGGCCGGGTTGGACGTCGCGGGCCAGGACCTCCGCGACGGGCCCGCGCTCGTCGGCGCGACGGAGGCGACGTGCTGCGAGGCCTGCCGCGCGGACGCGGGCTGCGTCGCCGCCGTCCTGAGCGCGCCCGGCGACGACCCGCCGCGCGCGTGCTGGCTCAAGCGGTCCGCGGAGCCCGCCGCGGCGAAAGACGGCGTCGCGCTCTGCCGGCCGCTCCCGCGGCGGACGCCCGCGCCTCCGCCGCCGCCGGCCGTCGCGGAGGTCCGCCTGCGGGCCGGCGCGCCGGACGCGCCGACGGACGCCGCGGAGCTCGCGCGGCGCCGCGCGGCGATCGCCGCGGCCGTGAAGCACGCGTGGCAGGGCTACCGCGACCGCGCGTTTGGCCGCGACTCCGTGGCCCCCGTGAGCGGCCGCGCCGTCGGCAGCGGCTTCGACATGGCCGTGACCTTGGTGGACTCGCTGGACACGCTGTGGATCGTCGGGCTCAAGGAGGAATTCAAGGAGGCGCGCGACTTCGTCGCGACGGAGGCGTTCGGGAAGAAGCTGCGGAGCCCGCCGAGCTCCGCGTCCATCTTCGAGACGACGATCCGCGTGCTCGGCGGGCTGCTGGGGGCCTACGAGGTGAGCCGCGACAAGATCTTCGTGACGCGCGCGCTGGACATCGGCAACGTCATCCACGGCAAGCTCGACAAGCGATCGGGCGTCTGCCCGCCGAGCTTCGGCGCGCGGTCCGGCGGCGGCTGCCCGAGCCTCGCCCACGCGGGCACGACGCAGCTGGAGCTCATCTACCTCGCCCGCGTGTCCGGCGACCCCAAGTTCCTCAAGACCGCGCGCCTCTTCTACGACCACATCAAGCGCGCCGCGCGCCTCGAGCCGGGCCTCTACGCGCAGTGCGTCGGCGCGTCGTCGGGCAAGATCACGCTCGGCGCCGAGGCCGACTCGTTCTACGAGTACCTGCCCAAGGTCTGGCTCCTCCAGGGCGGCGCGGACCGGCGCGCGACGCGGACGAAGAGCGCCGAGCCCCTCGACTTCGAGGACGCGTGGCAGATGTACAACGACGCCCTCGACGGCATGGAGCAGCGCCTCACGTCCCGCGGCGACGACGGCCTGCTCTACCTGGACAACCTGAACTGGCGCGGCGGGTCCGCGTTCTCGCGCGAGTCGGCGATGGAGCACCTCCAGTGCTTCGTGCCCGGCTGGGTCGCTTTAGGCGCCGCCTACCAGGACGACCCGGCGCGCGCGGCGAGGCACCTCGCCCTCGCCGACGAGCTCGCGACGACGTGCTTCGCGATGTACGACAAGCAGCCGACGAAGATCGGGCCCGAACGCGTGAAGCGGAAGCGCATGGACCTGAGCGCGACGGACACGAAGGAGTACATCCTCCGGCCCGAGGCCGCCGAGGGCTGGTGGTACCTGTCCATCCTGCCGGGCCTGGACCACATGCGGGACAAGTACCGCGCGTGGTCCTGGCAGTCGTTCCAGGCCATCGACGACCTGCTCCGCGCGCCCTTCGGCCACGCGTCCATGCGCGACGTCTCCAAGCCCAGGGCGTCGGCGAGCGCGAACCGCCTCGACCGCATGGAGTCGTTCTGGATCGCCGAGACGCTCAAGTACTTCTACCTCATCCAGGAGGAGACGCCGTCCTTCCCGCTCGACGCGTACGTCTTCAACACGGAGGCCCACCCCTTCTCCATCCACACGTTCAAACGCGCGCACGTTTTCTTAGCGGCTCCCGCTCGAGGACCGCGACGGCGACCGGCTCCGCCGGCTCCCGCGGCTCGAGCTCCGGGACCGGCTCGAGTAGGACCGGGACCGCGGGCTCGGCGACCGGCTGCTCTTCGACGACGACCGCGAGTAGCGGCGGTAGCGCCGCGCGGGCGGGCTCCGCGACCGCCGCGGCGGCGACGGCCGCCGGCCGGCGAAGCGGCGCGGCGGCGACCGGCGGCCGCCGGGCGCGCCGCGCGGCGGCGGCGGCGGGTGCACGCGGCGCTCCGGCGACCGGCGGCCGCCGCGGGGCGAGGGCGACCGCCGGCGGCCCCGGCGCGGCGGGCTCGGCGACCGCGACCGGCCCCGGCCGGGCCGGTCGTAGCCCCGGCCCGCGCCGGTCGGTCGCGGCGGCGGCTCGTCGCCGCGGCCGGGCCGGTCGTAGCCCCGCGACGGCGACCGCCGCCGGCCGGGCGACCGCCGCGGTGGCCGGTCCCGCACGGACACGGCCCGGGGCACCATCGCGCCGCCGCGCGGCGGCCGCGGGCCGCCGCGCGGCGACGGCGACCGCGACGACCGGCTCGGCGACCGGTCGCGCTCGGGCGTCACGACGCGCACGGCGACGCCGGCGCCGTCGATGACGCCGCCGTCGAGCGAGTCGAGCGCCGCCCGCGCGCCGCCGCGCGCCGCGAACTCGACGATGGCGTAGCCCTTGCTCAGGCCCACGGTCTCGTCGACGGCCAGCGACACGGAGGCGAGCTCGCCGAAGCAGGCGAAGATCTCCTCGAGGTGCGCCTCCGTGACGTTGCGCGTGAGGCCCGAGACGTGGAGCAGGTTCGATTCGTCCATGATGAACGCGGCAGCGATCGCGCTGAGCTCGATCGGCTTTTTGATCGGCGATTGCAAGCATTTTGCCGCAAGCGCAAGCGCCTGCATCGCGGGCCAAGGGCGGCCAGAGAAAGTGGTCTACGGCGTCCGCCGCACAGAGCGCCGCCATGTACATCGACGTGCGGGACCACCTGCGCAACAGCATCCAGGTGACGTTCAGCCTCGACAGCACCTTCGGCGACGTGCGCAACGCCGTCAACTGCTGCCTGCCCCCGGGCTTCGTCGTCACGGAGTTCGAGCTCGTGCCGGCGCCCTTCGCGCACTACATCGAGGACGACCCGGAGTGCTTCAAGGGCCCCGCGGACGAGTGGTACATCGTCGACGTCTTCTTCGACGACATCGCCGCCGGGCTGGAGCGCTGCGAGAAGGACGAGACCGTCGAGAACCTCGTCGTGTGCCTGCGGCTCGTGTCCATCGCGCCCCTGGGCCCGCCGCACCGCGTCGGCGTGCTCTTCCCCGGCGAGCGGGACCTCGACGCCGCGGCCGTCGAGGCGCTCCTGTCCAAGCCCGAGGGCGAGCACGCGCTGCGGCTGCTCAACGCGGCGGCCGAGGTCCGGGGCTACGACCTCCGCAAAGCCTTCGCGTCCGGCGCCAAGAGCGACGCGCGCGCGAAGCGCGACGCGACGATCGTCATGTCGCTGGCGACGGTCGAGATGCGCATGAAGCTCCGGGGCGACGGCGAGCTCAAGAGCCAGATGCCCGCGTGGGCGCACACGCCGCTGCTGCCGAGCGAGGTCATGGGCGTCGCGGGCTTCGGCGTCGCCGGCGAGTGCGCGGCGCTCGTCTTCGCCGGCGCGCTCACGCTCGAGGAGGCCTTCGAGCTCGGCGACGCGCGCGCCGAGGCGCTCGCGGGCCAGGCGACGCCCGCCAAGGCCGCGTCCGTCGTCGGCTACGCGGACCGCGCGGCCGTCGACGCGGCCCTCGAGGCCGCGAGCGCGCGCGGCGGCGGCACCGTCGCCGTGTCGCACGACCTCTTCGACGGCGCGTTGGTCGTCGCCGGCGACGCCGCGGCCGTCGACGCGTTCGTCGCGACGGACATCGCCGGCGCGACGGTCAAGCCCGCGGACGCGCACCGCGGCGCGCAGACGGCGCTCGCCGCGGGGCCGCCGTCCGACGACTACGCCTACGCGCTCGGCACGCGGGCGACGGGCGGCGAGCTCCGCTACCCGCTCTACTGCGCGTGCGGCGTCCCGGCCAAGTACGACGACCTCCCCGCGGCGCTCCCGCAGCTCGGCGCGTCGCTCGAGTCGCCCGTCGACTGGCGGGGCGCCGTGGGCCTCATGCTCGGGGACGAGATCACCCACTTCGTCGACGCGGGCGGCACGACGCAGCTCAAGTCCTTCATGATGAAGCTCTCGCCCCAGGCCGCCCTCCTCATGACCTAGAAGGCCGCTCCTAACCGATTTTTTCGCGCCGCCTTACGGCTTGGACGGCGAGCCCTTGAGCTTGGCCATGAGCATGTTGGCCACGAGCGACGTCCGCGCGTCCGAGTCGCCGCTCTCGAGCGCGAAGATGCGCCCCCGCGCCTCGATGGCGTCGGAGCTGATGCTCGGGATGGTGCCGTCGGCGTGCCTCGCGATGGTCGTGAAGAGCTCGACCATGACGACGACGAAGTCGGAGAACTTGAGCACCGCGCGCGCCCGCGCGTCCTTCGTCTCGTGCTTCTCCCGGACCTCGGAGAGCTCGTCGAAGATCTGCAGGCTGTACTTGTAGTAGCCCACGGCGCCCGGCTGCGCGTCGAGGCACCGCCGCAGGCCCGCCGCGAAGAGCCGCTTCGCGCCCTCGAGCGTGATCCAGCCCGTGATGATGCGGGATTGCGCGTTGAGCAGCGCCGCTTCGAAGGAGCCCTTGGGCGGGTCCCTGGAGATCAGGAGCGCCGCGCACTGGTCCAGCTTCGGCCGCGAGCCGCGGATGAGGTCGCAGAGGTGCTCCGACGCGTCCTGCGTGAGGTGCGGGTTCGTCGCGCTGTCCTCGCCGACGCGGCAGGCCCGCGCGAAGAGGAGGATCCACGCGTGGCCCGTCGCCTCGTCGGCGTTGAGCCCGTCGCCGGACTGGACGTCGGCGACGACGCGGATGAGGGACACGACGAAGGCGCGGAAGGTCTTGAAGAACTTCTGCGACTTGCCGAACTTGAGCTGCAGGAACTGGACGACGAAGGCGGACATGGTCCGCCGGTCCTTGCCGTTGCTCTCGTCGACGGCGTTGGCGTCGATCTTCGCCGCGTAGATCTCGACGACCATCTCGCACGTCGCGCGGACGGACATGGCCGCGGCGAAGTTGAGCTTCGGCTGCCACGTCGTGATGAGGTCGCCCCAGGCCGTCGGCGTCCGCGGCCGGAGCTTGAACTTGGGCTTGCTCTTGAGCTTGACGGCCTTGGGCTTGGCGTCGCCGGGCGGCGGCGCGCGGCCCGCGCACGCCACCGTCGCGCCGACGGCGATGGAGTCGTCGAGCGCGGCCGCGGCCTCCGCGGCCGTGTCGGGCGACGGCGCGACCATGGCGAGGCGGTCGCGCGCGACGCCCGTCTCCAGGCCGTCGGCGAACTCGACGTCGTAGAGGGCGCCGTCGAAGGCGACGACGACGCCCGCCGCCGCCTTTGCCGCCTTCGCGGGCGACGCCGCGGGCGCGTCCGCGGCCTCCTGCTTCTTGCCCTTCTTCTTCGGCGCCTTGCTCGCGTTCGACGCGCGCGGGCTCGCGGCCTTGGGCTTCGGCGGCGCGGACTTGCGGCTATTCTTCCCGCGGACGACCTTCTGGAGCGACGCCGCCGCGCCGTCCTCCGACAGCCGGCCGCTGCCGTCGCGGTCGACGTCCGCGGAGAACGCGTCGACGGCGTCCTGGACGCGGCGCGCCAGGATCTCCTTGACCTTGACCGGGTCGTAGTAGCCCTCCTCGAACTCCGCGGCGACGAGGTAGTCGACCTGTGTGGAAATCAACCGCTGGTTTGCGACGTCCCGACCAAACTTTGAAATTCTCTCGCTCGGTCACATCGAAGTCGATTTGGCTGGTTTTTGGACGAATCGATTGCTCTCGTCAAGTCATCGAAGCACGGCCGAAGAGGTTGGTCCGAACCGTTCGATTACGCGCACATTGAAGTCGTGTTGAAGATTTGGAATCCACGCGGTCGTCGACGGCGAGGCGGTGGTCGTAGCGCGCGCGCTTCTTCGCGTCGACGCGTTTTTTGGTGTCGGCGTCGAGCTCCGTGGCCGCGCCGTCCTCGGCGTCGTCGTCGTCGTCGCCGCCGTCGTGCCACGACTCCTTGTCGCAGAGCGCCATGGCCGCGCGCGGCATCGCCGCCTCGACCCGGACCTCGACGAGCAGGCCCTTCTTCTTCGCCGTCGTCGCGGTGGCGGACACGCCGTGCTCGTCGACCTCGAGCCTGCGCGCGACGGCCCGCTCGAGGGCCGCCTTGTGGGCCTTGGTGAAGGCCGCGGCCGTCGAGAAGCACGCGAGCGTGAGCTCGAGGTCGACGCAGAGCGACGCCACCGACAGCTCGCGGCCGAGGTAGGACTCGTAGACGATCTTGAAGGACGTCGCGAGGAAGTCGCGGTACTCCGCCGCGTCGACGCCCGCGGTCCAGACGTCCGCGACCTGGAAGACGGCGTTCTTGAACTCGAGCTCGTCGACGACGCCGTCGCCCGCCGAGTCCTGCTTCCAGTCCTGGTCGAGCATGGCCAGGGCCTCGGGCGAGTCGTGGTCGAAGTCGTCGTCGTCGTCCTCCTCCGCCTCCGCGTGGTCCCGCAGGATCTTGAGCAGGTCGCTGTGGAACGCGCCGTACTCGACCTCGGACAGCACGCCGTCGCCGCCGTCGCCGCCGACGTCGTGGACGGACTTGGTCTTGCACCACCAGCGGTGGAGCTCCTCGATGACCTCCGGGTCCTCGCGGATCGCCTGGCGCTGGTGGAGCGCGTCGTCGCTGTAGAGCGCGAGGTCGCCCTGGTTCGTCGGGTGCTTGCGCTGCTTCTCCGTGAGCGCGTCGAATTTCGCGCGCGCGGCCTCGGCGGCCTGGCGGATGCCCGCGAAGCGCTTCTCGCGCAGGGCGCTGAGCTCCTCGGGCGACCAGTGCCGCTCCTGGTCCCGGTGCACCGCGGCCACCAGCAGGTGCGTGTGGCAGA